CTTCCAGAATATAATTTGTAGCCACACTGTGTAAAAACGTGAAAAATAGAGATTTCATAACAGAATGAAATCAAAATTAGAACAGCACATTTTCAACCACAAAAATAAATTAACAAATAAGGGCGTGCTTTCACCTATCAGAAGATTGGCCGTTTTAACCCTAAACGAGTGTAATTCAAGAAAAAGTACATGATAATACAAGTAAATTATGGAATCACACACAAGGAGCCTGCCAGTGTCACTATTCGGCTGGTTTTGGTGGAGACTGGCTCTAACTCTAACAGAACACATTTATTATATAAATTTAAAAGGGTAGGAACACCATCAAATTAATTTACACTACGCTATATAAACCCAAAAAATTAGAAAAACAACACATCAAAAACTATTTTTAAAATTAACACACCAACAAATTTAAAACACAACAAAGATGGGAAAATAAAAGACAAACAGCATAGCAATAGATCTATAATTAGTATGTAATGTACTTATATTTTTCGCATGGAGATAACTATACATGGACACCATAAAAATATCAAAATACATGTCTAATAAGCAATAGGTTATGAAGTAGCTTTATTTCCTGAAAAATGCCAAAAATCGCGGCCGCCGCGACAAACGCAGATGCTAGTGACAACTGACATTTCTCTTGTCCAACTCCAACTGACAGTTCTGATGTAATGACTGGCATTTCTCATTCATTTAACAATGACTTAGTTATTCTACAACAAGCATGATTCTGTAATAGTAACCTACTGCAAGTGACTTTTCTCATGTATCCATCACCAATTGCAAATGGCGTCTCTCATAGCAGTGACCTTCAGCTGACATTTCTCGCGTAACAGAAACATTTTACATCCCATATCATGTGACAGTGACTTAAATTACAACTCACATTTCTCATGTAATAGTAACAGTGACTTATTACAACTGAAATTTCTCATGTAACAGTAACCTACCACAACTGACATTTCTCAAGTGTAAAAGTGACCTTCTACAGCTGGCATTTTTCACGTAAGAAAGGCCAATTACAACTGACATTTTTTTCTCGATATATTACAACTGACATTTTTCTCATGACCTTGATCTACAATTGACATTTCCCATGTAAACATCACCTAAAGTTTAACACGTGTATAGAGCTGAAATTTCTCACGTTGAGACTTACAAAATCATATATCTTTTCGGAACAATGACCTACCACCTCGGATTTCTTTACACGAAAGTAACCTTCAACGTCGGATTTCTTGCTCGGTAAAGACCTACCACAGCCAATATTTATTCTCAGATTTCAATGGTCTTCATTGAATATTGACATTGTTTAACAATCTGTTTTTTACGGCGATGGCACGTGGAAATAGCTGTCTGAGCCGAGCGTGCTGCCGTGGTAGAAGTGACCGGAACTTGTCTCACTGTCTCGTCTGCTCATGTCGCCGCGGAGATCTCTAGGAAGGGAGAAGCAGAAGTCAGAGGGTTTGCGTCGTCTGTACCTCCGGGCGATGGAGACGGCGACGAGCAGGAACAGACCCAGGCCGAGCAGGACGGCAAGGAGGATGATCAAAGTGGTGGGGTCAAGGTCACTGATGAACCACCTCGGCACACTGCCCTGACGCGGAACACTTGTGGAAGTTGCGGGGTCTGGTGGTGGGGACAGAGATAAAATTAGTGGCCTACAAGCAATAATATATGTAATTGTTTATGTTTTATGGTGCGACCCCAACAACACAGCTTAGATCGCGGGTGGTTGGAGGGAGCCACTGGTTGGTCCTATTTCTATACATGTACTTTTCCTCTGTTGTTTCTGTCTTTCTTTCCTGCTTGTACTTTTTCCTAGCTCTAAATGACCATTATTGTGTCGATTACTTCTCTTTACTCAAACAAACAAACTGTGTAGAACTTTTTGCAGGAAAGTTGCTTTGACTCTTCCTGTCGGGTCAACTTGGGCTGATAGGGTTACATAATTCCAGTTACATAACACGCAGAGAATCTCGATTTACATTTTTTTAAAAAACAGCTTAGGGAATCGAACTCGTGTCTACTGTGCTCAACTGCGAAGAAGAGCATACATCATGCTTGTGAGACAAGTTTACAAGTTCAAATGCGTATAGTCCGTACAGAGTCTAGATCTAGATCTAATTATAAGTTTGTAGGTTTGTTTGAGTAAAAAAAAAAAAGGG